GTGAAAGCAATTGATCCTGATGCAATTAGAAATGCATCGCTTCTTTCATGATGGTTGTGTAACATCACACAGTTCCTGTAGGTAAACTCTTGAACCCCAAATTCTCAATGTATTAATAATTAACAGAGTAACAGAAGAATTTCAGTATTTAAGGAGGCTGGAAAAGTGAAGATACTGAAAATTTTTCTAAATATTTGTGTGCTGTGTGATGGCAAAGTGAAGTCCATATTCACTGAAAATTATTCTAGAAAACAATTATTATTTGTAACTCCAAGGATGCAAAACCTGCTATTTTGGTTTATATAGATGTATTTATATTTGGGTCAATGAGGATAATGGTAAAAAAGGTGAGTGCAATATGCTAATTAGTAACAGTCTTCATTTTAACTAACTTCAATATCAACAAAAAGCTAGTCAGTGGTATTCAACTTTTTAAATTATGTACACCTGTCAGTGAAAACTTTGACAACACACCCTAATGTGTTATATTTATTTACAAAGTGTGTGTGTGTGTGTGTGTGTGTATAACAGGTACATTTGTAAAAATATACACAAATAGAATTTTAAAGATTGAGATAAAAATAAGTAGAAATAGAATTCCAACACTTTCTTATCACCTGCCTAGAAGTTTTAATATTTTCTTCCCACATCCCAATGTATTGCCATGTACCCACTTTAGAGGCCACTGGAAAAAAATAGCTGATGATATCATGAAATTAAGGATAGTTTCTTTGACTCAGGAATCACAGAATTTTGCAAGTATTTCTTTGAAAACTTGCTTCACTCTGCTATGTTCTTGTTTTTCTTAATGCTTAATACTGCCAAGACAACAATTCAAACAGTGTGCTTCTAAACAGAACAAGAAGAGCTACTGAAATCTCACTTCTCCTTCAAAACCTTTCCTGACCCACCTGACATCACGGAAAGCTTTCTGCTCATCGCTAAAAGATGCCCTATGCCCCCAGTAGACATTCAACCCTATGAAAAGAGCCAAAAATTTTTTGTTTTGTCTGGCCCAAATTTGCTCAACTTCTCCTGAAGCTTGAAAAGAAATGGTATCCTGATATAAATATAACATGTTGGAATCACTTTGAAATTATTTCCTCTAGTTTCCCTTTTTTTAACATTCTGAAGTGTACAGACTTACTGCAATCAACCATGTGTCCCAAGAATAGTTTTTAAAACTAGCAGAATTCCTGAAAAAAGACTATTAAGAGTCTAAAGTCAAATAATTTTGTTGACTTGTAGGTTTCACAAATGATTAATGAAAATAATTCATTTATTGAACAGATATTTTCTGAGCACCTACTATGTGTCTGGTACTGTTCTAGGCATTGGGGCATATAAGAATAAACAAAGCAACCAAACCCATCCCCTTGTGAGGCTCACGTTATAGTAAGAAAAGAATGTCCTTTTGTAGACAGGGGTGAGAATCCCTAAGAAAACTCAAGAGTGACATAACAACCCAAATGCTCTCAAAATCTCTTTCTTTATGTCTTTTCTCTCTATCCCTTTTTTAAAGGGAAAGTCTCAAGGAAATTTAGTACATTACTATGATAAATGACCATATATTCCCTTTTTTTTATAAACACTTGTCCTGTGCAGAGTGAAAAAAACTGGAATGGAAAATAAATTATACCTAGTGCACCCTGGGTAAGGGTTACTGGGTTCAGTCAGCCAGCACTTCCCTCAGGTTCTCCTTCATCCCTGCCATCTAAGTCCATGGAGAAAAACATTTTCAGTGTATTCCAGAGAGCTCAAAGAAAATATTCCTTCAAGCAGCACAGAAATACAATATTGGCTCAGGACATCTTTCATAGAGAAGAAAAGGAAGGTGGTGCGGTTGGCTTCTTTGACTGTGACTGGCAGCCAGGCAGGTCTTTGATATGCTAATCACCTGGGGCCATGATCTGTGTGGCTTCTCAAGAAGGGCTAATGAAGTGGTCTTTTACCACCATCCATGAGAAGAGAGAAAGAACGGGCAGCAAAGGTCACAGCACCTGTCACAGCCCACCTGCCATGGATTCAGACCCCATCTGAGAGCAAGGTTGCAATGGTTAAGCCCTAGCACTTTCCACATATACTTGTTAATCCAGTGGTGACGGATGCAAGTGTAGGGCCCAGTGTCCCATCTGATACGGTTTTATATCCCAGAGCCAAAGCAGATGTGAAAAGTTATATGGTCACAGCACAAGGACTATAGTCAATAGTACTGTAATAACTATGTGTGGTGACAGATGGGTACTAGATTTATTGGGGTGATAGATGGGAGGGGGGTCGGAGGACAGGGTGAAAAAGGTGAGGGGAGTAAAGTACAAATTGGTAGTTACAAAATAGTCATGGGGATGTAAAATAAAACATAGGAAATATAGCCAATAATATGGTAATAGCAATGAATAGTGGCAAGTGAGTACTAGACTAGTCAGGAGGATCACTTCTTAAATTATACAAATGTCTAACCACTATGCTGTACACCTGAAACTAATATAAAATAATATTGAATGTGAACTGTAATTGAAAATTTTTAAAGGGGGGTGGGTAAAGTAAAGGGGAATAAGAGGTTCAAATCTCCAGGTATAAAACAAATAAGCCATGGGGATATAACATACAGCGTGGGAAATATAGTCAATAATATTGTGATAGCATAGTACGTTGTCAGATGCTTGCTGAACTTATGGTGATCCCTTCTTTAGGTATATAAATGTTGAACAACTATGGTATATCCCTGAGACTCACATAATATTATAATGTTAGCTATATTTTTAATAGAAATCTTGAAAAGAAAAGAAATGTTATATGGTCATGAGTNGGAGTTTTCCAATCTCAGATGACACCCCTGTTACTAGAACTCAAGCACAGTAGTCAGGGGCTATTTCTGTGTTCAGTAAGATACCTAGGTACCTGCTTGTGCTCAAGACTCACCAAAGACATATAAAGTTCCTTCTATAGATCCTGTCACATTGCCCTCATAGCCACTCAGGTGACAGTGAAGAAACTGACAAAAATCCTACTAGCTTGCCTGGTACCTCTTGTTCACTCATTCATTCGTTCATCAAACATTTCTTGGACACTTAAAATCTGTCAGGCACTGTCGTAGGCTCTTGAGACACATCAGTGAACAAAATAAAGACCCCTGCCCTTGCAGAGCTTGCATTCAACCAGGACAAGATAGATAATAAACAATAAACAACAACAAAAAAAATTAAATATTATGTTAGAAGGTAATACATGCTATAAAAAAAGAAAATGTAGAACAAAGCAATGGGGGTCCGAATCTCACCCACTTTAATCCTCCTGGTGAACATATCCCCAACACCCAAACATCACCAGCATGAATGAATTGCACGTATGTTTACCCACCAAATAAGGATAAATTCTCATAAAGCCTTTTTGTGATCATTTCTGAAGCTAAACTCAACTCTGTTTTGCATGACCAGTTTGGATTTTCGCGGTCCTTATATTTAACAACTTTTGCAGAAAGTAACATAACATTAAAACAACAGTTATTACTAGAAATAAATGAAAATCTGCAATTATTATTGAACTTTTCCCGATGATTCCAGTGAGGAGAAGAAGAGGATAGAAACAGGCACACAAACCTGATTGACTTTTAAGGAAATACATATTTATAGAAGGTCTTGAGTATGTCTCCCACTTCCTCCCCATACTTTAAGAGTGAATATTTTCAAGGCAATTACTTCATTCCTCTGCAGTGTTGTCTAAGTTTCTGGAATGGGTTGACAGATGCAGGGCCAAAATGGGCTGCAGAGAGATGACTTGGCACAAAAGCCACTTCCTGCCCTCTTGAGTCCTAGTGAGGTTGTCACAAGGCTTTGTTTCATCATTGCCCTCCTCAGATTTTGGTTCCTACCCATTCTCTCCAATACATCAAAATAGAAAAGAAAAAAAACAGGAGACTGGCAGTGAAAAGGAAGAGGAGGCAACAATTTTCACATTTCTTTGACCAATTCTAATTTGCCATAGCCCCTGCCTGTATTTGATTATTGCTCATGCATGAGTCCTAAATACTCAGGTTCTTGTGTGTCTACTGGTCCTGTAATGGTTGGTTAGGCCTAATAGCTGACTAAAGGTCTTAAAATTAAGAAGCTAGAGATTCTAGTTCGATAGGGAGACAGTAGCATGAAGTGAATCATTAAACTTTCTCAGTGTGACCCTACAGAATGGCAATTTGGCAAAAAAATGTCCTCATCTCAATTATGGTAAAGTAGTAAATTTCAGTGCTATTAGTATGAATGTAAAAAAAATATGATTTAATTAGCATCTATTAACTCTTGAGTCTCTGGGAAAGGTAGCCAAAAATACTCTCCCCCTCCTCCACAAGCTAGTTGATGCAATTTGGTTTTACCAAATGAATTAAGGAGAAGCTTAGCCCCTATCCTTACTACAAAATATACAACTCTCAATCAGATCATTCATGTTTTGAGGCCATGACTTATATTTTTTATGTTCTTTGTTGCCTAGTAGAATGACTTGAATTTAATAGAAGTCCTAGAAAGGCTTGTTGGTTGATTACTACTACATTTAAAAAAAAAATGTAGACAGCATTTTGAGCACTATAAATACCGGAGAAGTACAGGGGAAACTGAACAGGAATAATCTGTTTGGTCTGGGAGGCCTTGGGAAGTCTTATTCTTTTTGTGACACAAAATTCTGTAAGAATGGAGTCCTTAGCTGTGATGAAAACATTTTGCCATTAGTTTGAGGTGACATGTGGTCACAGTTTTATTATGTTGTAATGGAGAGGCAGAATAGATGGATGTCCTTTCCTGGATGCATCCATGTGTTGTTATTGTGGTTGTTGATGTTGTTCCTGTTTTAATTGTTCTTATTATAATGCAGGTTATTGGTTGAATTGCCAGCAACAGGCGGTGTGATTCCATCTTGGCAATTTCAGCCTGTAAAGCTGATCCGATACGTCACGACTTTTGATTTCTTTCTGGCAGCCTGTGAGATTATCTTTTGTTTCTTTATCCTTTACTATGTGGTGGAAGAGATACTGGAAATTCGCATTCACAAGCTACACTATTTCAGGAGTTTCTGGAATTGTCTGGATGTTGTGATCATTGTGGTAGGTTCAAGAACAACACCACATTCCCTATCTGTTACAAAAACATGTGAGAGTCTGTCTCCTCAGCATTTTGACCCTTGATATTCCTGAAGGAGAATCTAAAACGTCTCCTCTATTACATCAACTTCAGTGTAACTATGTTTTCTCATTTTGCATGAGTAACCCTTCTGAATACGGAGATGGAGAGGCATTTACAGTAAACTCTCAACCACACTAATAACAATAATTTATACTTGCCCTTGGCGTGCCACATGAGATGTGGGGGAGAAAACAGTGTTGTTTTGTTTATTCTGTTTTTTGCTAATGATATTTTTCTTCAACTACTAGTAAAAATTAATTTATATTCTTCTGCACATGTGTAAAGTTATGGCAAGAAGAAACATCCTGAATATTTTGGGTGGCAGAGAAAAATTTCCTGCAAATAGTCCAGAATGTACAATGTATAAGTATGGCCATCAAGGTTGCATGTATGAGGTATGAGAAATCATAACAGTTAGGCAGAGTCAAGACTATGACACCTTGTAGACCCCCTGCCTCCCTTAAACTCTATTCTAACTTTTTATACTTTGTTCAAGATGGTTTCCCTTCAGCATCACCATCTTAACCACTTCCTCCCAGAGGCCTCAATGTAGAAATGTATTTTTGCAAGTGTTTCTCCCTTTAGCAATAACAATCTTTTGCAAAGCCCTGTTACACAGTTAAGTATATAATGACATGCTTAATTGTCACATGCTTAAAAGTCCTTCCTTTCCACTGTCCAAGAACAGAGATGCTCCTCTGAAATTTCAGTAAGCGATGCATTACTCTCTTAGCGTCCTCTCTTCTAATGTTCTGCTTCCTGACCATTATTCTCCCCCGCCACCAACCCAAAATTCGTTTGGTCTTTTGCCTCAAGTCACTATCAAATCATCACTAGAATTAATTGGTAAAATATAGAAAAT